GGGGGGATGTTGGGTGCATGTGGGGAGGGGCACACCAGGACACACAAGATGCAAACAGCTGTGATGCGAGATCTGCCTTCATTATTTCCCAGTCTCCTCTGATTGTGGACGCGTATCTAAGCACTAGTTAGAACCTGTTTGCACACGAGGGCCCCTGAAGCAAAAGACTTCACTGCAAAATCTCCAGCTACAACGCAAAAGTGGGCATCCTGAGAGGACTAAGTCACAAAATAGCACTTGGCGGTGAGGTTATGGCTCATGAATTCACCCATGTGTGGAGAAGGTCAGGAGAACAATGCATGTCCCACTCCTCTGGCTGCTTGCCACACTCGTCAGGAGGGGGACAGTGGATGCCTGTCAGTGAGTATTCACCCCCAAACTGGCTGCCACTCATTTTTTACCATGGATCATCACGAGCCCTACAACACCCCCAAAACCAGGATGTCATGCAGTGGGAAAGAGAAGACTTCATTTTGATACAGCAGTGAAATATATTTGCCATCAAATTTTCCAGAATTGGACCTGAATAAATTGGAGAGGTTTTCCTGCACTCCCAGGTCATGAGGCTGAAACAGCTTCTAATTGTGCTTGTTTACCAACAAATCTTTAAATGTTGAGTGGTCCTACAGAAACCTATTCTCCAGTTCACTCTGAAAACCAGGAATCTCTCCCACATTTGAATATCAAGGATCCGAATTGCCATGATTCAGTAAGATAGGCAAAGGGTGTCCAGGCCCTTAAAAAGCGGGTGGAGAGATCCCGAAAGGCTCTGTCCCCCTTGCCCCCAAGTCTAGGATGGAGTGACAATGACCTGGGAATGAGAAGAAGCACCAGGCTTGGCCCCGTGAGCTCACAGCACTGCCTTCCTCACAGTGAGAACTTGGTCATTTTTCATTTCTTATCCCCTGTCAGGAATAAAAGGAGTTTGATTCCTAGGCGCTCAAATACAGGAAAGTTAACTGTGCCATCCTTTTCCAACTGTTAGAAGAAAGTAACAAAACACAAAACCCAAACCTGGCAATCACATGAGGATGTGTGGGAAGGAGTTCTGCAGGCAATTATCAACACCCCCTAGCGCTGACGTGGGGAGAGCGCCACACGTCACAGTCAGTCGGAAACGCGCCACCAGAAGGGTTCCAAGTGGGCGTCGCTTTCACGCTTACCTGGCCGTGGGGTGGCAGTGCTGCATACGCCAGGGGCTGGCTCATCACTCCTTTCTGCTTCATGAGGAGCATGCGTTTCTGGTCCTCGCTCAGGTGCGCCCTGGGAGCCTGCAGCTGCGGGGGCGGCTGCGTCTGCGGCTGCTGTGGCTGCGGCGGCTGCTGGATGTAGGGCATCAAGGGGTTTTTGCTGGGGTTGGCCATGGGCGGGGTCATTCGCTGACTCAAGTCCGCGTTGAAGTGGGTCAGGGGCTTCGTGTTGCCGTAAGTGAGAATACTGTGCTGCTTGTTTAAGGAGTCCGTACCCAGGTTATTTGGCTGCTGACTGATCATGTTCATGTGATTCTGAGGGAGGTAGTTATTCATTGTCTTCTGCAGGTTGTTTGCCATCGGTGGCACTACAGGGTTTTGGTTGTTAAAGGCTTGGGGGTACATCATGGGGCTATTTGGTTTTTCTGCAGTGAAAGCTGCGCCATACGGGCTGGATGGAGGCCCCAATGGAGACCAACTGGAAGTCTGATTTGGGTGTTGCTGCTGCTGCTGCTGCTGCTGCTGCTGCTGCTGCTTCTGCTGCAGGAGTTTGGCCCTTTGTTGCTGCTGCGCAGCCATCTGTTTGAGCTGCTCCGCTGGAGACATGTCGGAGCTGGGCACAGCCACAGGGCCCGACCCGGACCCGGCCACCGTCACGGCTGCTGCATTGAGGAGATAACCATTTCCTGGCCGAGGTGGCGCTTGGCCTGGGGTGTGGGCTTGGTTTGGAGTTTGCGGGGACTGGACAGCACAGTTTGCTGGGGAGCTGGCGGGGTTCGGGGCTGCGGGAGTGCTGGCGACAGAGGGTAAACTAGTGGCCGTGGAGACAGTAGAAAAGGGAGGACCAGATGAAGATGGCCTTGTCTGGGGAGAGCCCATGGAGATGTGTGTAAAAGGAGAATGAGAGGGGTCGCTCTTCACGCTCACACTCTCCTGGGACAGAGGGGTCTCGGTCGCTGGCTGTGAGAATTCGGGCTCCTTCTTCTCTTCAAAGTCCTCATTGAACAAGTCCTGTATGTCGTCTTCAGGAACCGTGTTGGCCAACTCATCGATTAATTCTTGCCACTCCTGATCGTTCAGGTTAATGTCTGAGAACAGCTTGTTCTGATTGGAAAGAGATGTTTCTGATGTGTCTATGCAAGTAGGGTCATCGAGAGGTTCTTGTTTGAGGTCTTTGCTCTGCAAGATGGTGAAGCTATCCTCCAGGTCACTGCAACCATTCACAGGGAGTTTAAGTTCTGGGAGCCTCCCATTCTTACTTAGATCTTCTAGAAGCCCGGGCGTGTGAGTTCCGCTATTCTGCAAGGGTAAAGAAGGCTTCAGGTCAAGTTGGTGAAGAGGAGAAGCTGAAGGCAGTGGCATGGTGTTGGGCAAATTGTTGATGGCTTCCATCCCTGCGGGAATGTCCTTTCGTATTCGCTTGCTAGTTGGAGAAAAACTCCCATCGCAAGCACCATTCTGCTGGTCTCCATTAAGTGGTGATCGGGCTCCTTCCAACTTTCTTTTCACAGTCTCCTGGAGCTGGAAAAGAAACAGGAAAGGGGGTGACTCAATTTCCACTTCATAGCTCACTCTTTAAGCATGGTGATATGCCATGCTATCAACTAACTTTTCTATGGTTAATAACACACAGTAAAGAGGTTATTCTTGTAAGCTTAAAAAATTGGCCGGGCTTCCATTCAAATTCTATGGGAAAAGGTTTTATCCAAAAGCAGAGCTCACAAGGCTAAGAGACAGAAAACAAACTAAAGATTGGAGGGTGGGAAACGAATGAAAAAGGACAGTTAAAGGCAGTAGTTCTCTTACAGGGAAGAATCATCTATTCTTATTTTCCAAATGAATGCAAAATATGAAACTTGGACCAAAATGTGTCATACTCAAGAAAGATGTTAATAATTATCTTAATTTCTTGTCTCATCTTAATTGAGAACGTCAAGGAATTAAATCAACAATATTTTACAGAACACTAAGAATCCTCTGAGAATACAGAATTTAACACATTTATGAAACAGCATAGAAATGAAGATTGGTGGTTACCATAACCCAAAACTTCCTTTCGGTTCTTACTTTACTGGACCCACCAGCACCTTTTGACACAGTAGCCCACTTGGTTCTAAAAGCACACATCCATTGGTTCCCATGATATCCCACATTTCTGGATTTCCTTTTTTCTCTCCATCTGTTCTTTCTCAGTCTCTCATGCATTTTTCTTTCTCTTAAATGATGAGATCCTTCATTGTTTTGTTTTAAGCTTTTTCCCTGCCCAATCTACCTTCTTGCCTAGATGATTTCATCCATGACAACAGCTTTCACCATATTCTCTAGGCTGATGACCCCATAACAATGTATCTAGCCCAGTCATCTCTGCTGAGTTCCATGAACTCCAATGCCTCTTCCTGGATGTTTCATGGGCATCTAAAACTCAACATGTCTTGACATTGAGCTGATTATCCTTTAATACTCAAACATGATCCTTACCAATGTTCTTATCTCAGTATCTACCCAGTTACCCAAATCAGAAACCTGAGCTTTCTTCCTGAAATGTCTCACATCACCAGTCACCAAGTCCTATGTATTCTGCACCCAAAATGTTACTCTAACATGCCCACCCATCTCCAACCTTACTGCTACTAACCTAGGCCAGGATGCCATTATCTCTTGCTTGATTGTTGCAGCTGTCTCCTAACTGGTCTCTTTGCCTCACCTCTATTCATCCATCCATTCACTCTTTCATCTATTCTTTTATTCATTGTTTTGCTCTCCATCAATCTATTCTCTACACTGCCACCTCTTTCAAAAAATAGATTGCCCTTCCTGCTTATAACTTAAAATGATTTCGATTGTCTTTAGATTAAAATCCAAATTAAGCCTAGTTCACCTGGCTCATCATTCCAGGTTCATCATCTTGCTTCTGGGCTTAGCATCACTTCCCTATCCTGGGCCAAACATTTTCTATCAACTCTCCTGAAACACTTTGGGTTTCTTAAATGTCCCACGCTTCCTTCTGCCTCCAGGACTTTGTACATGTTGTTTTCTTTCCTTGGAACTTACTCCTCTGCTTCCTCTTCCCTTCCCCTGATTAATAGCTCCTCATATTTCAGGTTGCATCTTAGATTTCACTTCCTCTAGGAAATCTCTTACATCTTGTGCCCACAGCAATTATATTAGGCACCTCCTTTGACTCACCTGTACTGGGTTGGATATCCTGGAGTAAGTTTTTCCAAGCAATCTCTACTTCCCCATCATAGCTTCTACCATACTTTGGGGGCCATCACTTAGGTGTCTGTTTGGTGAGCTCCAAGAAGGTATGGACTATGGCTGACTTGCTTACTGTGCCTCCATGGGGCTGCACCTCGTATGCAACTTCCTAGCAGTGGTCAATAAATAATGGCAAACTGAGTGAGTGATTCTATTGTGTAATTCATAGGTGCTGAAAGAGGTGAGTTTGAATCAGAGCACATGGCAGCCCCATGGACCATAGGAATGCCTGACTTGGAGAGCCTACATTCCCCATCATGGGATCTCTTATCCTGGAGAGTGTTGGACTCATTTAAAAAGCCCAGTTAAGAAAAGTCTGGCTAACTCTATGAATTTATTAACTATAAACTGAATTCATCTGTCTGCCCCCTTCCTTTCTGCCAGAAAGGAACAGGACGTGGGTGAAAGAGCCCGGCACAGAGTAGGCACTGGGGAAACGCTCACTGAATGATGAAAAGAAGACTAGATTTGTTAGAAAAAGTTTCAGTAACTTTGCAGGGCTGGAGGCAGAAGGCAGAATGTCACAGGGAGGGCGGGAGGAGCCGTCCTCCACCGGGGCTCGCTCCCGTTCCTGGCAAAGTGCTGTGTATCATGGGAGCAGGAGTCCCCCTGACCCTGCACTTGGCACATGGAACAGACAAGGCTCTAGAGGAGCCCCGTGGGAAATAAAGCCAATCTGGAGATGCTGTGGGGGATTCTAAGAGGCACCACGTCATTGTTATTCTCATAAGTAGAGAATTCCATTTTAAAAGTAAATAGAAAAGGTCCTTGCATAAAAATCCAGTCTAGCCCTTGTTCCTAAGTCTTATATTTTTAATCACAACACCAAACACTGTCTGTAGTCATTTGATAGAAGCCCCTGAATTGTTGAAAACAAGGTCCTAACTGGAATTTAGCTTCAAAGAAGATAGTTGCTCAATCCATCATATTAGGTAGACACTGCTAGAAAATTATGTTATTTATTGAACAAACCAGGGAACTGTGGTTCTGATCATAGGTATGGCAGATTACTTGAATGTAGCTCCAACACACTATGACAAGTTCAAATATCCCAGCTTCAGGACCTAAAGGAAACAAGGCTTGAGGCCTTTGGCACCTCCTGAAGCAATGTTAACCTTAAAAAATAAGCACTTGTCTTAAAAATGAACCTGACTTTATATTAAAAAGTCCAGGTCCATGATTCTGTTCTAGGGCCAAGAAATGGATGGGGGCAGGGTGGAGAAATAAAAACGAATGCTTTGTTTGTTCCTCTGTAAAATAGTGGTGGCCAAGACCATGGAGACAGACAGGTTTGGCTGGGAACCCAAAGTTTCACCTCTTATCAGCAGTGTGACCCTAGCTGGGTGAGGCAGTTTAGGCGGCAGTACAGAAACACGAGTACTGGCCCAAGAGTTTAGAATGTCTGGGCTCAAACCCAAGACCACTCACATAAGACCTGAGACATGTAAATGTTGCCTGGCACTTAATAAATGTTAGTGAAACCTTTCATTAGATAGTGAGCTACATGAAGGTATGGATTTTTCTGTTTTGTTCACTCTGGGTCCTCAGTAGATACTCAATAAATATATGTTGAATGAATGAGTCCTGGAAAACTTATTTAACCTTTCCCAAGCCTTGGTTTCCTTATCTGCAAAATGGGGTAATAATATCTAGCTCATAGATATTATTCATCGTACTCAGAGTAAGTTCATCGTACTCTGACGATGAACTTACAGGGAAGGCACTTAGCTTTGTGCCTGGCATCCAGTATGCATCCACTAAGCCTTAGCTATTACTATTTTAAAAATTTAGTGATACCAACAGTCACAACTGCAGCCGAGAGGGATCGCTTTCTCGATCTCCAAAACAAATAGGTAGAATGATGATATTTCTGTTCGCTAGCCTGAAAAACCCTAACATTTTCCAAGCATCGGGTGAACCTTTTCACATGTGAACAACAAAAATCAAATTTGCAATTCAAGCCCAAGTCCAAGTGCTAATGCATTCGTGTCCTAGATTGTGAAACAGCACTAGATTGTTGAGGTTCAAATCAAATACATTTCCAGCATTCAAACTGAATGGAGCTGCTGAACACTTCCTTTTCCTTGAGGGCCTAAAGTTCTCTATTGCTGGTCCCTGTAACCCGAATCTTGACTTATAGTTCACCTATCACATTTGGGGATATAAGAAAAACATCCCTGAAGACACTGAAGCTATGTTATGATTTTTATGTCTTGTTTAGTTGCGTCCAAAATAGCAGAGCAATCTTAGCATCCCCACTGTGTGTCTCATCATCCCCTGCTACGTGGAAGGGTGGTCTGTGAGTCTCATTCTCTCCTGATGTCCTTCTTGGGAGGTAGAAGGAGAGTGGGCAGGAAGAGATAGCGCCTGCATGCTCGAGAAGGCTGAGTAAGTCACAAGCACTCTGCTCAGAGACCTGAGAATGGTTGACCACATGGGGAAATGTCCTTGTGAGCTCAACCCTACCCTCAAGGACTCAGGTCCGAGTCTCATCCCAAACAGTCTTATCTTAGGAGGTTCCTGGCCCTGCTGTCTTACAAAGGAGCAGGCCTCTGAGTATGAGTTGAGCCCTCGTGGAAGGCTCACAGCACCTCTTCACTAGGCATCAGCTCTCTGGCTCCTGTGTTCCTATTAGCATATGAGTAAATGTTTTCTCCCATTAAGGGAAGTGTGGTGCCAGGAGCTGAAGTGCGCTGTTCATGTGATGCCTGTAACACAGGGACGCTAGCATGTGCCAGTTCCTCTGAAGGAAGTGGCTCCTCCTCATCACTGGCTCCAACACCGTGTCTTGTCTACAGTGTGGCTCGATGGCTGTGCTCCTGTGAAACTGTTGGGTTTGTGTGTGTGTGTGTGTGTGTGTGTGTGAGAGAGAGAGAGAGAGAGACTTTGAGAGACACTGAAAGATTGAGAGGGTCAGAGTGGCTTGGGAGGGGTGACATGATAGCCAGGCCAGTAGTAATAAGAACAGCTATGCCTTTGGGGTTATAAAGTGTTTTCACACAGGTCATGTGCTGGCCTGATGGTTCTGCAGGGAAAAGTGCAATGTTTTGGAGGAGGTGGGATGGGGAAGGGGTGGATGGAGGAACAGGGCTAAGATTACCAGGCCTCTGCTGAGAGAGGGGGGCCCCATTCCTAGCAGATTATGTTCTTCCTTTAGACTTTTAGCAGTGCTAGTAAGTTAAAAAACAAACGAACATAAAACCAAAACAAAACCAAAACAAAACAAAAAAAATCCCCAAGAAACCTTTTATTGCTTTGTCCCTGATTTTGCATGAACTTGGGCAGGATCATAGAGTTTGGGAATAACGGAGATGATACTGCTATGAATGATGACTTTAGGATGGAAGACATTGGGGTAAACCATCAGATTCCTTGTCGCCTACTCCTAATGGTTCTAAGAGGTAAGTGTTATTACGACCGCAGCCTGACTCCACAGCCCACACTGCACCCCCATCTAGGACGGCGAAGCACAGGCGTGCTTTCATGTGTGGCACAGGCTCCAACGCTTATCGTGACAATGCTCCCTCAGACTGTTTTCGGGAATCATCCTTGATTCCACCCTCTCCCCACCTCCCACACCCAATTATGCCTCAAGAACTGTCTGTTCTTATCACTAATGGATTTTAAATTCTCATCTCGAACACTCAATGCACGACTTTAGTTCAGATCCTCAACACTTCTCTCACGATTTCTGCAGCAGCTCCTGGCTAGTCTCCCTGCCCCGGGCGTGCCTCCCCTCCAACCCATTCTCAGCCCAGTGGCTGGGATTTTCTTTAAAACATGTGAGCCTGGTCCTCCCCCTCTCATTTACAGCTCTTCTGCAGCTGTCCAATTTCTTCAGTGTTCACCCCAGTCCGGCACACAGGCTCCCCACAACATGATCTTCCTCCCTGCTTACCTCTCCAGTTTCAGTAAACCCCTCTAACCTTCTCCCCGCCACGTGCCCTCCAGCACCAATCAACTTGAAACCATAAGCAGTTCTCAGGCCATCAGGTGTTTATTCTCTGTCTCTCTGAGCCTTCGCATATGTCATACTCTTATCCAGCTTCTTCATCTGACCAGTTCTATTTGTCTTTCACAAGTCAGCTTAGACATTCCTTCTATACAGTCTCTCTTGACAGCCCTTCTGCATATCCTGGTTGTGGATGTACTCCCAGGGCATCCCAATAGACATAATATTGTAACTGCTTTCCTTTTCCATCATGGGATTGTACAAATGGATGAATCCTATAAAGATCTCTCAAATAAGCACACTGAGTTTCTGTAATTGATCCCCAAAGCAGGCACTTGAAAATGTTGACCTGTATAGTGTTCTAATGACAACTGAGTAAATGTACAATATATCTTGGTTATTTTGAAATGCTGGAAATGGCTTATGGACTGTCCCCTCATTATTTTGGGGGGCTCTAAGATCCAGGGATTCAATATTGAGAACTAGAGAGCATATGAAGAGAATCATGGAAAGGAAGGCTGAAACTGAAACCCAGAGACTTTATGTGACATTACTAAGGTCCCATGTTTTGACACTTACGTGACCTCAAAATGCTAGATACTTTCATAGGTGAATTTTAAATTTCCATACAAAGGCTTCAAGTGGTTTTCACCCACCAAAGCACCCCCTCCAACCAAAAATGTGAGTGAACTTCTTTCACCAACTATTAGAGACACAAGACTTAAAGATGAACTTGCAGATGCTATAACTAATTTAGAGGCTCAAAGAGAACATTTTTGTCAGGTTCTTCTGCTCTGGTCAAACTAGAAGATGATTCACTGAATCAATTTTCATATAGTTATTCTCTTCTCACTCTACCCGCAGATCATAAGCATATGAACACATGGATAAATTCGACTTGCTTATTTAATGTATTTGATGAGTGACCCAGAATAGTCATGTGTTAGATATTTTAATTAGTAGAATATGAATAGTGTGCAAAAAGCTTTCAGAACTGTCTTCTAGATTTAAGCAGCCTTAGAAAGGAGCTTTTGAGGTTTATGTAGAGGTTCAATTTTTTAGACCCGCGATTAGCCAATTTTAAAGTGATCTGAGAAGCTGTCAGAAATGTAGATTTCTTGGTCCACTTCCACTGTCTAATTTCGTAGCCAAAGGTGGGGCCCAGATTGGGACACAGGTTGGAGGCACAGGTATCTGAAGAAATTTATTGATTTTGGACCAGGATTCTCTGAGGTAGTTGGCCCAGGATCCTCAGTTTTTAGAAATTCTGATCTACACTAAGAATTCTATGGGAGTTCTGACAT